ATATATATATATATATATATATATATATATATATATATATATATATATATATATATTTATATTACATATTTTTAATAACAACTTTTAATAACATGGAAGTCGTTTGCGAACGAAAACGTGAATATTGTTTACAAAGAGGTAAACAGTCTCAGAATGTGAAAATTTATTATGAATCTATTATGTTATGCAACAGTTAATACAGTTTGTTTTCTACTGTTACTTTTACAAATAATAAATTGCCAAAATAAAGCTATAATAAAAGTTCATAATAAAAGCTACTCTATTATAATTAAGCTTTGTATAGTAATAATAATAAACAATGTTATTGTATATTGTTACCATAATTAGAAATTCCTCTTTTTTAATCTTAATTAGTATTTTTAATGTGTACTTACATATGAATACATATTTTCCTTACCACCAACATATGTTTATATTTTATATTTTTTTTCTAATAAATTCTATTCTGATATACATAATACACACTATTGAATTATTATTGAATTACATTAATTCAAGGAACAATTAATAGAATGTGATATCTGATCTCTTTTTTAACATAATATAAACCTTTTATACATTAATTCACGAAAAATAAAGAAAGCAATACTTGAACGAAGTAATTTTGATCTCACTAGCATAAGTTTAATCGCCGTTAGTTAATATGCGTTCTAATCAGAGTAAAATCTATCAATTTCCTTTACTAATTTTCCGTGTTTTTATTTTGTTCAACATATTGTTGCGCTTATCATTTATAAAATAATCTTTTTACATATTTGAATTATGAACGTAATTACATATTTATTGTTACGATATACAGGGTGTCCCATTTTAAATGCCCTAGAAAAATTTCGAAAAATATGGAAGATACGGAAAAATATTTCAGACAAAAGTTATATGGTTCGATGGAGGATATAAGAAAGTATCATTGGTTTAACCTTGCATGGCACCGCCAACGTCAGGTCGAGGTCAACTTTATTTTTTTAAATAGGAACATATATTTTTTATTACGGAATTTTACTCTACATAAAGAAACAAACAACTTTTGTTTGAAAACATTTTTTATACGACCTCTATTTTCTAAGATATTTACGAAAGATTTCTAAGATTACGAAAATATTTACAAAATTATTGGTTTCAATAATTTTTTACTCGAATTCTATCAACTTTACCGAAAAATAGCTAGAGAGAAAATTGTTTCTTCTCTGAGAATTTTTTCAGAATGTTTTAATTAACTTTTTAGTATTTAAAAAAAATGCAAGAAAATACAATACTAAAAAGTTAATTTAAAAATTCTGAAAAAATTTTCAGAGCTCTACGAGAAGAAAATAGATAATTTTTATCTCTTGCTATTTTTCGGTAAAATTGATAGAATTCGAGTAAAATATTACTTAAACCAATAATTTTGTAGATATTTTCGTAAATATCTTAGAAAATAGAAGTCGGATAAAAAATGTTTTCAAACAAAAGTTATTTGTTTCTTTACATGGAATAAAATTTCGTAATAAAAAATTGTTTCTATTTAAAAAAACAAAGTTGACTTCGACCTAACTTTGGCGGTGCCACGCAAGGTCAAACTAATGGTACATTTTTATGTCCTCCACCAAACCATATGACTTTTATCTGAAATATTTTATAATTTATAGGTATAGCTTCCGGAATGAAACATTTTATCTTCCATATTTTTCGAGATTTTTGCCTGGCGCATTTAAAATGGGATACCTTATATAGTTATAAATATACATTATTTCTTCGTAACATTATTATTAATACTAACGGCAAACGCGCAATAACGAGCTACATAATATATACACACAAGGTATCTCATAATGATCGTCTAAAAATATAATTAGAAAATATCCTAGAAGCAAAACAGATAAACTTTTTCCTTTTTTTTTTTCAGAAAATGTACATATTATATTATTGTCTTAACTATTAAGTTTTTTAACAAAAAAATAGAAATTGAATCAATAAGAGAGACAGTGTGATATATGTACATGCTGAAATAATGTGTGTCAAGATGGTTGTAGCATGTCTTTCATTGATTCAAACCTCGTTCATTAACACTAAAATGCCTGGGAGTGTAACAACATTCGTTGGATCCCCAAAAAAATAATTTTGTCTCCTTGTGATTTTAATATTTTAAAGCACTTTCTGTTCCTTATTAATCGTTTCAATGATGACTTCTGCTAAGAATATAATTTGCTAAGAATATGTTAGGAATATAATTTGCAAGATATAGATATTTTATATATTGTAAACAAATTTATAATTTTTCCTAATTTACAATTTTCTACAATAAACATGTATCATAATTATTATTTGCTAGCCTTCTATAATTAGTACATAAAAAAAATATAGTAAAAATTATACCAAAATTATATTTCTGTCTTACGTTTCTTATAATAATAAATTTGACAATCTAAATAAATACATGTGTGTATATGTGTGTGTCTATATATATACATATATATGTGGTGTGTGTGTGTGTGTATATATATATATATATATATATATATATATATATATATATATATATATATATATATATAGTATGTGGTAAAAAAATATTCAAATAATTAAAAAAAAAATTATATATATATTTATATATATACAGAGTGTCCGTCCATAAATGTCCAAGCAAATACTCGTAACTGGTTGAAGTTATAAGAAAGTTTAATAAGCGAAATTTACATGATTCTTAGTCAGCTACAAAATGCATGTAAAACTTTTTTTTACTTGTGATCTTTTCGAGTTATGAAAGTCAACGTAGTTTTTTTAAATGGGTATCTATAATTTTTTTGCATATTTATACAGTAGGAATCATTTGCAATCAAAATCATATCCAATAAAAAATTGCTAGTATGCATCGTTTACGAGATAATCGACATCTTAAGTATTAAAGTAGTAAATTAGATTATAAGTATTTTTGAACGTGGTTTGGAATGTCAGTTAAAAAAATAAATAATGTTTTTTTATTAAACATTTATTAACACATAAATTGCTCGAAATTTTTACCATCATGTTCGATATAGTATTCAATTATGTTTTATTATGTGTTTTATTTCATACGTGTTTAGTTTCATTGTTAGTTACAGCATTTCTGCTGTTAACAGTCTTTGTGATCTTATATCGTAAATCTTCATTTTCAAGAATAGTTACATAGTCATGATAGTATCCTTATTATGTCCCTAAAGAAAAAAATCGCAAATCAAATCCGCAGACCTCGCGTTGAATGCTATGTCGAACAGGATGATTAAAATTTCGAGCAATTACAAATGTTTCGTGAAAAAACATTGTTTATTTTTTTAACCTCATTGACATTCCAAACGTCTTTTAAAAATACTTATAATCCAACTTACTACTTTAATACTTAAGATGTCGGTTATCTCGGACATTTATGGACGGACACCCTGTATGTGAGGGTGTGTGTGTATGTGTGTGTATATATACATACATACATACACACACACACACACACACACATATATATATATAATAATTCAAATAATTAAAAATTTTGTTGTAAAAGGTCAAACGTATGTAAGATTTTTATACATAGTAATTTCGATCATTTTTTATAGTTCAAGATTACAAAAATTTTGTTGTAATTTTTACTACATTTTCTTCACATACAAAAAAAATAGTGAATGGATATAGAATAAAATATAAACTTAATTGGGATTAAAAAACTAAAATCTCAAATAATAGTTTGCATACTATTCTTATAACACTGATAAATAAATAAAAAGTCAAAATAACTCTGGACATCCAAAGTAAATAATAAAATAACTCATAATATCATTTATCTCTCTTCCGTTATTTTTTCGATGTCTTCTGCTTTTAAAATAATTAAAAGTTACAAGAGATTTTTTCGTAAACTATAAACAGAAGTCTTAATGGAATCAAAATATCATACATTTTAGTATTAAAAAACTGAACGATTGATAAAATATACATGGTCTAAACCAGAGCTCGGAATTAGTTCCCCATTTTGGCCGATTCTCAGGAACTACGCCTTCTATCTTCCCCTTGCCGCGAGCGGGCCACGAAAGTAACAGTCGCGCCTCCAAACTTGAAGCCGCGACTGGCCGCGACTGTCACTTTCGTAACCCGCTCACGGCAAGGGGAAGAGAGAAGGCGTAGTTCCCGCGAATTTGCCGAAATGGGCAACTAATTCCGAGCTCTGGTCTAAACTTTCGCAAGAAATAATTGCATTTTGATATAAGATACCCTATTTATAAATATATAAGTAATTATTAACAATAAAATAATAAATTTAGACTGTCATTATGATATATATATATATATATATATATATATATATATATATATATATATATATATATATATA